ACTACTAATAATAATGGTACAAAGATCACTACTACTACTATTACATGCAGAATTTCTATTATTACTCATACTTCTACTCTTACTACCATTATTACGACGAATAAAACTACTGATACTACATGGAACGCTGGATAGGTTAGCTTACTCTTCGGAGCATTCCGCGCATCGTGATTAACCATTATACTGTGATAGAAAATTCAGGTTTGTAAAATCCTCAATATAGCATTCTTCTTCTTCTAATCACGTAGGCGACCCGTACGTTCACTCATGGTGAATTAAATCATAGGCACAAGATTCCCCACAATGATCCGGTGAATAACTTGTAGATTTCCTACAACGTCTTGTTTTCCCTCTGCAGAAGTATATCATTTTTTTACGTTTTATTTACCCCTCCTGGAAACTGCATAAGCAGACTTCTCAAGGAGACTCTGCTACTAGTGCGCTAGCGCTCGAAAATAAGTATTATAATAGTTCCCCGAAACTGTTTCTCATAAAAGCGGTCTGGCCTTCATTCGGAACTAAAGACTGTAACATGTTTCATGTTTTTATATTATACCTGAATATCAAGTACTCTAACAAACTAAGAATACCACAATAGCGTCAAGTAAATAAACTGGCCTCATTTGGGAGAGTCCTAAACTGATTGCTGGTATGAATAAGCTCACTGCACAATTTGTATGCACATTTTTGAACTTATTTGACCAATCTTCCGATTGCACTGGCCGAGCTCTTCCAATTCGAAAATTTACTTTCTTCCCCTCTGTACACGAGAGTCCGAAGTTCGCAAAATATAAGGTCTACCACTGGCCCACGAGGTGGGTGCGGCCGTGAAATGAACGTTATAGTGAAGTAGACTTTTATTGCACCCACCTCACTCTTTCTTCTCACACCCACCACTCGCCGTTTGTGACACCGACTTAAGGTCGGATACGTCACCAATCTGACTCTTTTTTTCACGAGTTTCTGGCTCAAAACCGTACACTGGAAGCTCTTCTGACACAGACTGTTTTAAAAGACTAAGCCCACCACTGCTCCACAAGGTGGATGAAGTAGTTACTTGCAAGTAGCTATGTTTATAGCGACTTAGACTTTCGAAGCATCTACTTCAACCTCCCCTCCTACGCCCATCGTGCCCCGTTGGAAAGGTAAGGTCAAGGTGAAAAGAGGTGGGCGTGGGCATGGGCGCACAGGCTGCAGAGGCTACACGGCCCATCTAGTGTGCTCCCTAACGTCACACGTACCATCCTTCATTCCAGGGAGGAGCCTGGGATCTCGTGCACGTTAGTATCCCACAAAGGGCACATTAAGGAGGAACCAGCTGTAACCTGATCCCCTGACTCCTCGTTGGGGCAGACTTTAAGAAATTTGACATTTATGCATCCAAGAACACTCTGAATGATCTTCGGGCTCTGTGAATTCTTCAGCCGGTGCATAGGCGCTCACCGATTGGTTATAGGACTCGATCGTCCCTTTGAACCTTCGGGCTCATTCTCGAGCCCCGCTAGCAGCCGCACAGCGACTTATAATTTGGACAGAATGGCATTACCGACAAAGACAAGCGAGACCGAAATGGCTATTTCCGGCTCATTAGCTGTTATCAGTCGGTCATACTCAATCCCGGGTGTTGCGCCACCCAGGGCTCGGACTCAAAACCTGTTGAACGTTCTAACCACTGAATCCCTTGCTCGTGGTCTTGATAGTTTAGGCCGAAGGCTCTTCACAAGGCAAGCGAGTCCCATAAACAATCGGTGAGCGCCTATGTACCCATGTGGATATCTGCCAATCCAAACCAACAAGACCACGAGCTCGTGACCGAATGGTTAGAGCGTTGGACTTCTGATCAGCAGGTTGCAGATTCGAGCCCTGAGTGGTGCGAAAATTGGGGTTGGATATGGCTGGTTGATGATGGCTAATAAACTAGAAATGAACTTCCAGTCTCCCCGGTCTTTGTCGGTTATGTTCTCTTGCCCATTATTCATACTCCTGCAGCACATACACAACTTCGATTCTCCGTAGTTAGTTACTGGACAGCTGATCTAAACGCTCGTCAACCAACTGACTCGGGTTCGGCTCTGATGTCCCCTTAGCCTAGGTTTGACTGGCCGATGGGGGTCTGAAGGGCCCATTTATATAGCCCCCCCCCCGTATTTGCCCACCTTCCTCCAACTGGATGTATGTGTGTATTCAATAGCCGCAAACGACGATTTCCAGGGTGGGTCCCACAGCGTGGTGGGCGTAGAACTGTGCCTTGTGCCTGAATTGGTCTATAGTTATGTCAGGTTAGCATAGCATCTGCCGCACTCTCACTCTCCCCTCACCGATCTCTATCCGGTAGTATGACAGAGTCTGTTTACGCGTGCCTCATACCTGGTCCTCTCACAATGCACCAGCCTTTCATATAAGGAATAGGGTGACCCGGATGCAATCCGAGTGACAATGCTCTAGGAGTCACACTAAAAAGGTAATTTAGTCTGACTGTAAGACCTCGAGCCACTGACCCCAAATACATACACGAC